GACCCCAAAGAAAAAGGTATTTGTGTCTCTTTGTGGTTATTTCGTGCAGCCCAGTCAGCCCAGTTCAACTGGAGTGAGCCCTGAGCCTTTTAGTCSAGAGAACAGAAACCGACCACTCACGATGCACTGGCACTATGCTCTCGGGAGGCCAGCTATTCATTGTCCCCATGCTGCAGATGAGGACAATGAGGCCCAGAGAGGTCGGTGCAACTTGGCCAAACTTCCAGGACAAGTGATCCAAGGCCGGCAGGGGAAAGGGGCAGGAGAGGGGCTGGCTCACCACAGCTGGGGTCCCGCAGCGAGACAGCGCTGGCCAGAGGGATCTCCACGAAGGAGGCCACGACGCTGGCGTTGAGCGTCCGGGCCTCTCCCAGCAGGCCTTGGGGTGTATCTGGGAGCACAAAGCCGCGGATGTTCTTCTCTGGAAAGATCTTGAAGGAGTACTCGCCAGTGGTCTACAGGCCAGGAGAGAGCAGAGCGGGGAGTCAGGGTGCAGTCGGGCCTGTGGCAGGCCCGGGACCCGCAGGCCAGGCAGGGTGATGCCAGGCCTCCRTCCTGCTCTTCCTGGTCCCCTGTTTGCTCTGCCTGGCCACCTTCCCCTGTCTACTGTCTCCTTTGTCCTTGAACTCGGCTCAGGGTTCACCTCTCCCGGAAGCCCTGGACCCTGTGCTCTGGGTTAGAGGGCTGCCTAGAGCATCAGGGAAGGCTGCCAGGAGGAGGTGACCTCTGGGTGAAGATCTGAAGGAAAGACAGGTGGTGGACACAGGCAGAGCCCTGGGAGCAGAACCATCCTGCCTGAAGCCCCRTGGGGTGCGGTGCCTGCAGGCGGCCTGAAGGCAGAGGCGAGAAGGCGGGTGAGACTTACCCAGATCTGCATGTTGTGGTTGGCGTCGATGAGCCAGGACACGTCGGGTGGGCCCTGTAGGATGAGGATGGCGTCGGGATCCCTGGAGGTGCAGCTCAGTTCCACCTTCACTGTCACGGTCCGGGGCCTGCGGCGAGAAGGACAGGTCAGCGCGGGTGGAACACGGGGAACGCGGGGTCTGACGGCGACCGCGGGCTGGGACTGGGACTGGGCCTTGGCGTCCAGGGGGCAGCGGCTGAGCTCTTCCCTGGCCCGGTGGGGGACGATGGGACTGGGTGGGTCCGGTGGGCTCTGGGCCCCACGAGGGGCGCCTGGGCGGGCCTGGYGCGGGGCGGGCACCCTTACCGGGCTCCAGCACCGGGCAGCACCCGCACGATGTGCGCCTCCTTGTGGCCGGCCACGCCCTCCAGCCGGCAGCCCCGGACCGGAGCCGGGGCCCGCGGCTGCCATTCGAGGGTGCGGCCCATGTCCCGGTTGGCTTCCAGCAAACAGAAGGATGGTGACTTCAGGGCTGCAGAGACAAACGCACCTCAGTCCCCTCCGGGGCAAACTGGCTCCSGTATACACAGGGCTCCACCTTCACCCAGCGCCAAGGCAGAGATGGGCCGGCAGCATGGAGCCTCAAGGGTGGGGCCTGGGAGGACCCAGGTCCAAACCTCGCCGCCACCACTTACCTTCTGAGCCACCCTGTGCAAGTCCCAAGGCCTCTGTTTCTTCATCTGTCAATACAGGGTTAATACAAGGAATGAGTCCATGGAGATACAGCCTGGCCACCACCCCGTGCATCCTTCCTCTCTCGTCTTTCCTATAGCTCCTACCAAAACCTAATATCATAGAATTTATCTCTTTACATGTTTATTGTCATCTCCCTCATCAGAGTGGCAGCGCCAGGAGAGGGGAGTCTGTCCCCACAGAGCATCCGAGTGCCTAGCAAACTTGGCACACAGTAGATGCACAATGAACAACGTGAAAGTGCTGGGGGATTGGGGGCTTAAAAAAAAAAAAGGAAAACCTGTCATTTCCCATAGTTCAGTCTGATACTTGGTGAAGGAGGAATCGCTGTCCCCAAAGGGCACTGCCTTGCTATGTGTGGCCCAGGGCAAATCATATCGCTCGGGATCTTTCGCGCCTTAGTCTGAGGAATGGATCAGAGGTGCTCAGATTCCTCCAGAGCTGGACGGAGCCCAGAGTGGCTGCAGGGGAAGCTGACCTTGGCCCAGCCGCAGCAGGACACTGCTGGGGTCCTCCAGCGCCGCAGCTGAGGTGATGGGGCCCTTTGTAGCCGCCCAGTCAAGGATCTGGCTCTTGGCGGTAAAGGATGGCAGCTCTGTGTGGTTGGCTCCCCAGAGCTCTTGGCAGATGACCAGTTTGGGGTTCTGGGGAGATAGAGAGTGCTCAGTCCTTTCTGACCTGTGCAGGAAGTTAGGGAATAATTTGGGGAGTCTGCCCTTTGGTTGAGAAGAGTCCAGGGCCGAAAGTGTGGAGGCTGGTGGATCTGCAGTCATCCCAGAGCCCCCAAGGGCTCCCCCACCCCTGCCAATCTGCTCTGTCTTCCACACCTGGGGGCTGTAAGGACACATATCCTTCTTCATCCACCTGTCCAAACAGGGCCCTGCTGGGGTTCTACCCATTGAACCCACATGAAATGACATCTGGCTACCTTCTGTCCTCCTCTATACTCTGGCCCATCCCTGCACAGGGCTCCACATGCAGGAGGCACCAAGAAATATTTATCTGAGTTGGTGCTGACTCGGGGCTCAGCGTCGGGGGGCCTGCCATACCAGCTTCACCCTGCCACCCAGCTCCCTGAACACGGGAAGGCAGGAAGGAAGGGAGAACAGGAATGGATGAAGAAATGAAAGAATGAAGGAGATGGGGTGGTCCTGCTTTGGGGGACCTCATCATTTGGAAACTAGCTATGCATCAAGTCACTGGAAGCAAAAGAAGCCAGAGGATGTCATTTACTAAGGAACAGAGGAGTGAGATGGGTCCCCTGGTTGGAAGGACTGGGAATCTAGGAAGCTCCCACACCTCCCCATCTTCCTGCCAGTGCCCCGGGGGGAAGAGTTGGTGGGCTGGGCAAGGAAACTAGGGGGGATTCAGAGGAAGCTGTTGGGGCCACTGGTTCAGAGTTCCTTTGTATTCCATCTCCAAGGCCAAGGCCTTGAGCTGAAGCAGCAGCAGCAGCAGCAGCAGCAGCAGCAGGGCTTCACGTTAGATATTAAGGAGGACTGCCTGTCAGTGACAGTAGGTAAGACACCATAGAATGATCCCTCTAGAATAGAGCCCACAACCCTCTCTGCAGAAATTAACTAGGGGGCAAAGTGATCCATGGGTGAGGACCACAGGTCCCTTGGTGGGAAAGACTGGGACTTTGGTGGTTTAAAAATGGGGGCCAGCTAGGGTCGTCAGTAAAATGGGACTTCAGCAGGGATCCAGGGCTCAACGTTGTCAGTGTCAGTCGCCTGGCGCGGGGTCTGACGCTCAGGCCCGCCCAGCTCCTGGGAAGGCTCCCGGGCTCGCAGGTAGACTCAGCCCCCCCCCCTCCCCCAGGCTGCGGCCACCTTCAGCACAGACCAGGACCAYGGTCCTGCAGGCGCAGCCTCCACCCCAGAAGAGCAGGGAGAGGGAGGGGGAGGAGCCACGGCAAGACCCGCCCCGACCGGCCTCGGTTTCCCTCTGGACTAACTTGGGGCGGCCCAGCTCTTCCCTGCCCACTGCCCTGGCCCTGGGCCCGGGGAGCTGGCCGTGACTTTCTCCCTCCGCCAGGGGCTTTCCATGCTGGCTTCGCTGCATCCAGATTCTTCCCCGGACGCCCATCTCCGACTTCTGGCCTCTGCCTGTCTCTAGCCGCGCCGGCCCMGGGCCAGTCCTGCCCCCACCCCAGTCTCTCTGGTGTCCCTCCCCCGCCCCGCTGGCCGCCCTTCAGTGTCTGTTTCTTTCTGTGCCTCCCCTGTCCTCTCTGCTGCCTCCTGGCCTGCTCTGCTCTCTCCTCTGCTTTCTCATCTGCAAGACAGCTGCTCACATCTGGGGCCACTTCCCAGGGCCCTCCCTGTGTTGGAGGCCCTGCTGACCGGCCGCAGGCTCCCCGCAGTGGGACAAAGCCCCCGCGGGTCCTTTCTCTTCGTGGATGTGTCTAACACTTAAGAGTTGAGCTTTTAAAACATAATTTTTTTTTTCTCCAACGTGAGCCCTGTCAATTAGGGCCATCTCTCCCCAATTTGGCAAAGTATAAAGAACCAAATCAGAGTCTCTCCTGATCCCATGTCCCTTTCCTCACCACTGTTAACACATTGTTAGGTTTCCTCGTGACCCTTTTCCTCTGTACTTAAACATTTTCAAATATCTTCTAACTTTATCAAAGACAATGAAAATGTTATTTGATGGGATATCATTGGGCCGAACTGTTCCACTGAACAGATGGGCATGCTGAGGACCACGGCTGGCCAGCTTGTACATCAGCCTGACTCCCACTCTTGGTCTGGGTTTTTTTTTTTTTTTATTTTATTTAGTTCTCAGCGGACACAACATCTTTGTTGGTATGTGGTGCTGAGGATCGAACCCGGGCCGCACGCATGCCAGGCGAGCGCGCTACTGCTTGAGCCACAACCCCAGCCCGGTCTGGGTTCTTTTATCTCAGGTCTTGCCACCCTCTGGTGTCTCTTGATCAGGGYCCATCAGTCACCTGGCAGGGCCCTGGTGAGTCAAGCAAGGCTGTAGGGGCAAGAGACCCTGGCCAGGGCCTTGGCCTGGGTTTGGGGGTGATGCACTCACGTAGGCCAAGTGGAGTGGGATTCCCAGAGCCTGGAGCTGCAGCAAGACGCTCTTGTTCGCCACGAGAACCAGAAGCACTTCCCGATGCCGGGTGCCATTTTGCTTGGAGGCCTGGAGGGTCAGCTCCAACTTTGCCAACTCCTGGGAGGGGACAGGGAGACACACAGACCAGTCAGACTTGCACAGCCGGGGCCACTCAGCTAAGCAGTGAAGGCTTCTACTCCACTCTCCCCACTCAGTTTGGTTTCTCTTGGTTACCTGTGAGTAGAGTCAGGCCCCCCAGGATGTGCCAGAAAATATATCAAAGGAATGAATGAAATTAGTCCCAGCAAATSCCAGGGAGAGAAAAAAATTGGGATGAGCCCAAACTTCTCAATAGTCAATCAAGATTTATGACTTCCATTGATTACCTGCTGTGTCCCGGCCTGTGGGCCCTGTGTGCATAGTTAGTGACTGCTCCCCCATTGTCCCCTCTCCCTCTATGGTCGACCCTGGTGCAGAGATTCTGCTTTCAGCCCACAGTTGCTCTCCTAAGAGCTGGGGTGCAGCTCAGTGGTAGAGCATGTGCTTAGCATGCAGATCCCAGCCAAGGAACCCAACCAGTGGATGGGAGACCCACCCTCCACTCCTTGGGAGACACTCCAGAACCAAATGTGTTTCGAATTCCCCTTTTAGTTTGCAGTATTCCTCTTATCTCACTATTTTAAAGTGCTAAGATGGGGCTGGGGATGTGGCTCAAGCGGTAGCGCGCTCGCCTGGCATGCGTGCGGCCCGGGTTCGATCTCAGCACCAYATACCAACAAAGATGTTGTGTCCGCCGAGAACTAAAAAAATAAATAAATAAATAAAATCTTTAAAAAAAATAAAGTGCTAAGATGCCAGTCTCTATAATACCATTATTTTAATATAAAAATGTGAAGTAGAATTCATTTTATTTCTGACTGCATTTTTAGGTGTTTTTTTCTTTTTTGTTTTTGTTTTTTTATGCTGGGGCTAGAACCCAGGGCCTCGTGTATGCTAAGCATAGGTTTTACCACTGAGCTACACCCCCAGCCTGCAGAAAAGTTTTAACTGATGGGGGGCTGGAGGTGTGGCTCAATGGTACAGTGCTTGCTTAGCATGTGTGAGGCCCTGGGTTTGATTCCCAGCTACAAGAGCAAAAAACAAAAGATGTTTTTAAATTGATGTAATTATGTTTTCATGACAGCAACAGTAAAATCCACTCTTACACATGGCTTTCTATGTGCCAGGACTATTCTAAGTATTTTCCATTAACTCATTTAATTCCTGAAACAACCCTTTATTATTCTCAATTGCAGATGAGGAAACTGAGGCCCAGAGGCACAGTCATTTGCCCATGATTGCACAGCAAATAAGCTGGGGCTGGGATTCRGACCCAGGCAGGCCTCTGCTCTGAACTCCTGCCATATTTTTCTACATCTTATGACCAAGAAGTAAAAGATGACAGTGATCCACAGGGCATAACTTCTGTGGAGAGAGACCTCCGCTCTGCCCCGTGGCTTTCTGAGCAGGCAGGGTGTGAATGGCTGAGGAGCAAGAATGAAGAGACAGCTCAGGACCCCAGAGCCCCAAGACTCTCCAGGACAAAGACAGATGTGGAAGCACTTTCCTGTGCTTCCAGAGCCAGCAGCTCCCAGACAAAAGCTTGTGGCCAAGAGCTGACCCCCAAAGTCTCCTCCCTCCATCAGAAGGGACAAGTGATTTCAAGATGGAGACACCATGGAAARTGTGGGGATTCACATCAGATTGTGTTTCCCCAGCGGACGCCACCGAGCCAGAGACAGCAGGTCAGACCCTGGAAAAATCTGCTCAGAAATATTTCCGYTACTCAATAATAACACTGTAATCACTCTTTGTGTTCAAGTTCACTCTTTAAAACAAACAAAAAAGAGAGCAAACACTGTGACTTCATCTTCAGTGTTCCACAAATCAGCTCTGTCCCTTTGGAGGGCTCTTTAGGCAATTATTTTTCAATAGTGATTCTCACGCTGGTTTACAGTAGGAGAAGAGGCTTCACGTGTATGTGTGCATCGGTTCGCATCTCGTTTTCTAATGGGTTTATAACACCATTTCAAAGCATCTGTTTCATCAGTTTTTTAAAATATTGTGCATTCTAAACACTTGAATAACTAATTGCTGGATTTAAGGCCATCTTTTATGAAATGCAAAATATCTAACTGTCAGAACCAGCATTTGGCTCCAGGGCTGTGATCACTGCTTAGACCTGACCAAAGGGAAGTGCAAGCCACCTTGCTGGTGTGGAGACCAGGCCTGGTGCTCTGTCCTGTGTCCTGTGAAACCATCAACTATGGGCACACAACTGTGCCTATCCACAAACCACTCAAGTTCTTCTCTGAATGGGTGAATTTTACCTCAATAAAGTTGTTACSAAAAACAACCAAGTGCTAGTGATTTCCCGGGGTTTGACCCCGCCCGGTCTGCCCCTGCGCTGAGCACGTGGCAGTGCTTCTGATCAAAGCAGGAACAGGTGTCCTCCCATCTCACAGATGGGGAAACAGAGGCTCAGGAGGAAGCTGCAGAGGAAGCCGAACCCCGGGCCTGTCAGCCTGGGTCCGAATGGAGGCCCAGGCCCTGGACCGTGCCCTTCTCTCAAATACACCTCAGTGACACTTGTTTGTCCCCACCCTGCGAGGAGAACTTCAAGGGGTACATATGGCAGAGAGATGGGCCCCATGACTTGGCAGATTGCAGCCAGGGAACACCAGTGGATGGGGAAAGCCRTCCTCTGTCCCTTGGTGGACACCCKCGAGCTGCGGGAGCCAGGCTCTTCTTGGAGGAAAGAACCCTGTGTGATGGGACCAGCTGCTACCGMGACACCGCCGGTGCCTCCGGGCCTCAGTTTCCTTGCCTGTGAAATGGGAATATGGCTGGAAAGCAGAAGCAGGCGGGCTCTGCTGAAAGGAAGTGAAGAAAGGGCGATGGAGGTCAGGGCCCGGTCAGCTGGGGGTCAGAGGGCTAGGAGGCTAGAGCTTTGTGACATTTGTCACATGCTCAGTTCTTCTCCCAGGGCTCCTAAGCCAAACCCACCACTGCCTTGTCACCAAGACTTTCCTGTTCAGTTGGGGGACAGGGAGGCTGAGGCCAAAAGCAGGGGGTCAGTCTCCTGCCAGGATCACACATGAGTGGTYTGGATACTGGGGGAGGCTGGAAAGTGGGGCTCTTGGGGTCCCAGAGCTCCCAGGCCTCGCTGAGGGCCAACCGGTTACCAGAAGACCCAGTCGGGTTTCCATAGCAAACATTTCCATCCCCAAAGCCTGACTCACCGGCAGCCACTCGCACGCACCCGACTTCCCTTCTCTGTGCCCCCAGAGGCAAAGAGAGGGGCCCCCTGCCCCTGCCCCAGGCTCCCAGTCTTCTAGGTGAGATCCTGGGACTCCAGGGCCCAGGCATGGTGGGCGGGCCAGCCAGCCCCTTGCCCCCAGCCCTGCAGGCTGGGCCTGCCCGACCCTTCCCTGAACTTGTGGGCGGGAGGTGAGTTGCTATTTTTGTGCCCACAGATGCCATTGTGGGGCCAGTGGTTGGAGGTGGGACGGGGGATTTCAGAGAGGAGGCCCTGAGCGCTAGTAGCCACTTATAGAAAGCCGCTTCCAGCAATTCTTCTAGGAGTGGAGTCTCGGGGCTGCCCGCAGCCCCCACCCTCAGGGCCAGCCGGAGGCGGTCACATTGGAGCCAGCSGTCCCTCCGTCCACCCAGCAGACTCAGACAGTGCATACAGGAAGGGTGGCCGGGGAAAGGGGTCAGAGCCAGACAGACCCGAATTCAAATATGTGTACTCAGTCATGAGCCTGTGACCCTGGACAGTCCTCCTGGGCCTCAGTTTCATGATATGGAAAATGGGCTGACAATACGCCCCCCTCACAGACTCACMAGGATGCTGTGTGACTCTGCCTCAGAGTGGGCTGTCCAGTGCCCAGCTAGGCGTGGCTGGCCCTCTGTGGATGTGGGTCTTGCATCCACAAATTCCACAAATTGGAACAACCACAGATAATTTTTTTTTTTTTTTTAAGGAGACAGGGTCTTCCTATTTCCCCAGACTGGCCCTGAACTCCTGGGCTCAAGTGATCTTTCTGCTTAGCTGGGACTTCCAGGAATGTGCCACCAAACAGCTCCAAAATATGTATGTATGTGTGTGTGTGTGTGTGTGTGTGTGTATGTGTATGTGTATATATATATAATTTAAATTGTGTCTGTGCTGGACATTTATGAGCTTTCTTGCTTTCTTTCTCTCACTCTCTCTCTCTCCCCCCCTTTTTTAAATTTTTTTGGTACGAGAGGGGGTGCTTTGTCACTGAGCCACATCCCCAGTCTTTTTATTTTTTATTTTGAGACAGGGTCTCGCTAAGGTGCTGAGGCTGACTTTGAAATTGTGATCCTCCATCCTCAGCCTCCCGAGACGCTGGGATGACAGGCATGTGCCGGGTGCCTGGCAGGGCTTTTCTTTCTGTTACTATCTGTGTGTCCCTGGCATTGTGGCAGGTTTTATAATAATCTGGAGACACTTTAAAGTGGAGCAGAGCATTGCTCAGGTATGTGCAAGACCACACCCCTCCACCCAGGGCCTGGAGCATCTCTGGATTMGGGTATCATCGGAGGGGATCCTGGAACCCATCCCCCCAGGGACACCGAGGGATGGCAGCACATGGGCACTCGCCCAGGGCAGTGCCACAGCTTTGGATGTCAGACCTGGGCAGCAGGTAGTGGGAGCTGTGACACGCCACAGGGAGGTGTCTGCTCCCATCTTCCCCGGGGAGTCAGGCTCAGTGCTCTTCAGGAACTGGGTGTCTCCTGCATTCCCGCGGGCCTCCTGGGGGTCCCTCAGCACTTAGCATTTGGGAGTCCTGGTCTCCAGCCAGGTGGCCACCGAGGGGGCTTCCAGAATCCCTGGAGAGAGATGTTCTCCCCACCCCCACAGTGGGGCCTCTGCTCCCTCCAGCCCTTCTGGGGGTCAGCTGGGGCTCTCCTTGCCTCCCCTGACTCTCTTTCCTGCCAGAGAGGCCGGCTAGGGGGCTCCTGCTCCCCGCAATGGGGATGGGAGATGGTACAGCAGAGAACAGAGTTAACCCCTGAACAACCAATGACCCAGGCACTCAAGTGGCAGATGACAGATGCTTATGCTCATATATCTTCTCCTCCTCTTTCTTTCCTCCCTCCCTCCCTCCCTTCCATCATCCACACATCATCCAGCAGGTATCTAACCCCAGGCTGACTTGGAACTGGCCACCGGGGACACTGTGAGAGACAAGCACAGTCCCTGCCCAGCACATCTGTCCCCTGCCCACCCAGGCCCCTGGGTCAAGCCCGCCTCTCACATTTGAAAATCCTGGAACAAGAATATGATGGCAGCTGCCGGCCCCAGCCCCGCTCCTGTCTCTGCACCCTCCTTCTGACAGCACAGCAAGGACGCTCAGGTGTCCACATGTGAACAGCCCCCTGTATGCCCAAACTCTGCCATCCTACCCCCAATAGCCAACACCACCACCCTACAGGCCTAGGGAAGCTGCCCCTCCCAGAAAAAGGACAAGAAAGAGCCACACCAGATGTGAAGGCATGCCCATAATCCCAGCAACTCAGGAGGYTGAGATGGGAGGATTGCAAGTTCAAGGCCAGCCTCAGCAACTTAGCAAGACCCTGTCTCATTAAAAAACAAAAAGGGCTGGGGATGTGGCTCAGTGGTGGAGCACCCTGAGTTCAATCCCCAGTACTCCCGCCAGAAAAAACCCATGCAGCCCTAGCATAAGGGCTGTGTCACTGGGTAAGGAACTCAGGGACCCTCGTATCCAGAGCAGAAGCTAGAGAGGAGGGTGAGGTGCAGGTGGGCACACCCCTTTGACCACACAGTCTCCCTCCCCTGGAGGAGGGATCAACTGGAAGATGGCCATCGAGAGGTCACTCATCCTGGGGCCCAGGGTGGGGGCCCCTTGTCCCGGCCTGGGGGCTGCACTACCTTCCATAGCCCCTTCCCAGGAGGATCTGGGGAGCCTGGGGTCCCTACTGGATCACCTTGTCTGGTCCCCCGGCCCGGCTGAGTCAGTTCCCAGTCCTGGCCCTCCTCTGCCTAGGCGTGGGTGGGGTGTCTTTGACTCGCCAGGAGTGGGGTGAATCAGCGGCCGACCCGGCTCTGCCCCGGCCTGGCTGCTGGGGCTCGGTGAGGAAGACGCGGATCAGCGCAGCGGTCTGACGGGAATTGCTGAGACACCAGGCCGGCTTCCTGTCTCCCGGGTCAGGATGTGATCCCGGCCCCCTCCCGGAATCCAGGCTCCGGCCTGCCCTTCAGGGACCAAGCAGATAAAGCCCCTGTCCAGCAGCCCCCGGGTGCGTCTGCAGACCACCCCGATGCACATGCACACGCACTGGGCCTGGCGCTGCCTGGGGCTCTCCGCGGCCCCTGCTCAGACGAGGCCCACCCACCCACAGGAAGTCTGAGGGTTTTGAGGCCACGCAGAGATGGCCGGGAAGCCGCTTTCTGTGCCAGGATTGACGAAGGCGGCAGTAGGTCAGGAGGGATCTGGCTGGCTGTTGAGCCAGCGCCACCCCACAGAGCCACCAGCCCAAGTCTCTGGCCTCAGGGTCTTGACCTCACCAAGTGCCTAGCCTCTAAAAGCCTTTTCCCTAATGCCCCTCTCTTCATGTTCAGTGTTTGTCCCTGTCCCCTGAAGTCACCCACAGGCCCCTGCCCCCCTGCCCCCTTGCCAATCCCATCACTCAATTCCAGGGCTGCCAATGTCTCCCTCCCTGCCCATGAGTGGCATGGGGCAGGAAGGGCCTGGCCTCCTTTCTCTCTGCATCCTCAGTGCCCAACACGGGGCGGGCCACAGAGCAGRCATCTGGTGAGAGCTGGTGGAGGGGCCGCTGGAGCTGTGGACCCACTGCTGGGGGCTGCCTGGGGAGGAAGGTGCCTTGGAAGCCACAGCTTCCTCAGCGCAGGACTTGGAAGGATCGTGGGTCAACCTTGGAACAAGGAGCTTGGTACAGAGGCCCAGCTCCATGGGGCTGGACTACAGTTAGCCTCTCTGAAAATGGATTCCTGGCCTCTGCCTCTTCTCCCTGCTGGGGTGTTAACGGGAAAGATGCGGACCCTAGAGAGAAGCAATGATACTAACAACAACCGTGACTGCATGCCATACGCAGGCTCTGGGCAGGCCCTGGGCTCTTTTTTGAGACAGAGTCTCACTAAGTTGCCCAGGCTGGCCTCAAACTAGTCATCCTCCTGCCTCAGCCTCCCGAGTCACTGGGATCATAGGCAGGCACCACTGCATCTGGCTGTGCTCAGCATTTTGCCTGCACKATCCCCCGAGATTCTCAGAGCAACCTTGTGAGGTAGGGGCCATCATCATCTCCAGCTTCTCATGGAAAGACCCAGGTCGGGTAGGTGGCTCAAGGCGACGGACCCAAAAGAGGTCAGCCAAAGCTCTACTGGGGACCGGCTGGCTCCAGAAACGGAGTTCTTATTGTTGTTGTTGTTGCTTTGWTTTGTTTTGAGATGGTRACTGGATAAGTTGCCTCGATCTCCTGAGCTCAAAAGATCCTCCTGTCTCAGCCTCCAGAATAGCTGGGACTCCAAGGGCACGCTCGTCAGCAGCCCAGCTAGGACCTGTGCTCCTGGCCCTGCCCCGGGCTCACACTTGAGTAGATGCCAGGCTGGGGTCAGGCTCTGCAGCTCTGTGATTCTTGGTGAGACCCTCAAGACAAGAAGGGTGTGTGGGGGTCCGCCCCTTGCACTCCAAGTRCACTGCAAGGTGTGACAGTGACAGATCCAGGGCTGGGTGTGGTTCCCTGGGCCCCTGCACTCTCCACCACCTCCTCAGATGCCTATGCCTTGGAGCGCAGGAGCTCAGAGCCTGGCTCCCAGAARTAAGTCGGGCTGAGGTCCCTGGAAGAGGCGGGTGACAGGGGGATTCTCTGTCACCAACTCCAGGATCCTTGAACTTAGTTTCGGTGGCATACTGCCACACTCGTAAAAACCCTCCATTGACTGTCTCTGCCCATAGACAAAGACCAAGCTCCTTAATYGTGACAGATCTTTTCCGCCCCGTGCCCTCCTCTGCAACGAACGGCAAGCTCCTGCCACKCGCTGAGCCCGCCCACAGACGGTCCCCTGGGTCTCTCCTCTGCTTTCCCCACCCCGCCACACTCAGTCAACTCCTGGCCCTTCTTCCTGTTGCTCCTCCAGAAAGCCCTGCCTGACCTGGGCTCCTGGGAGGCTGGCTGGCTGGCTCCCATACACCTGGACACCTGGCTGGGCCCTGCTCTGACCTGTAGCCTTGCTCCGACTGTGGACCTCAGTTGACAATCCCAGTCACCCCTAAGAGGTGCGGGGACCTAAACATCAGAGCAAACGAAGTGAGYTCACAGAAGGCAATCTTCCATATCATTACCACATTTGGAAAAAAAAAAATTACAATGCCTATGAAAAAAMCACATAAAATATGTTTGGTGCTATCTGTGGCTTGGGGGTTATCAAAGCCCACAGTCCTCACGGCAGGCAAGGCGGTGGGGAGCAGGGCCCCCCGATATTGGTGGTCTGGGCACCTTCTTATCACCACACAAATGCAAGGCAACTCAACAGTTTTGGGGCAGGTTGGCCACTTGTTTACCCTGAGCCAACGCTGCAAATTGCTATTAGGACCTAAGGCCACGTGGGCCAGGTGTGGCCTTCAGCCCAGGCAGGCCCAAGTTGGCTGACCTCTGAGGAGCCAGGTGACAGCTTGGCTCTGGATCCCCTGGGGATTCGGGGTGAACTCTGGCCTTGGGCCTGTTTCTTTACGTCACAAAACTAGCCTCAGTGCCTTCCTCTGGGAAGCGGGGATGAGAGTGGGCCCTGGCAGAGGGTCCTGGAGAGGCTTCTGCGTGGACAGTGCTTAGCCCCAGAGTGGAGTAAGGAGTGACAAGTGTGTTCGTGTCGTTAATAAGAGGCTCAGACAAACCCAAGGTGGGCTTCAGAGGGCTCTCCCGGTGGGGTTCGTCTTGAGGTTGGACTCGCTGGCTTTGGATCTTGGACACTGCCCAGTGGGGTCACAGACATTGGATGGGGGACAGTCCAGGGAGGAATATTGGAATTCAGCTAAAAGAAACCCCTTTTCAAGGTCCACGCTGCCTAGAGTGGTGTGAAGTCCCCTGAGAAGCCGTCAGATCCCTTCACTGGAGACGCAGGAGCCCCACTCAGCCCCCTGGCTCTTCTCCCCAGCCCCCCTCCCACCTAGGTCTTATGGTTCTCTCCAAAGACTGCCCCTGCCACCAGAAATGCCACCTCTTGGGTCCCCAGAGAGGACTTGACCACTATCCCAGGGGCGACCCCAGGAAGACCCTCATCCCAGGGCCCTGGAGCTCTCTCTGGGCCCCTCCTGACCCTGCCAGGGGCACTCACATTTGGGAACTCCAGGAAGAGGACGTGGACTTCAAGAAGAGCGTTGGGATTATGTGCCACGCAGCCCTCAGACACCTGGCTGGTGGTGTATGTCACCTCTCCCCTCTGGGGGTCCACAGGCTGTAGGTCACAGTGGACACTTTCCGCCAGACCTGTTGGAGAAGCAGAGGGGGAAGACGATAGATAAGAAGCAGGCCAGGAGGCTGGGTGCGGCTCTGGGCAGAGGGCTCGCCTAGCACGTGGGGAGCCTGGGTCCCAGCCTGGCACTGCCGCAGCTAACAAAGAAACAACGTGCCCGGGGACAGGYGCCCACTCGGGGCTCCACCACCTCTTCACAGCCACCCTACGAGATAGGTATCAATGCGGCCATTCCGCAGATGGAAAACTGAGGCTCAGAGARGAAAAGTCTCTTGCCTGAGGTCACARTGCTACTAGGCCGAAGGTCACGGATCAAAGACAAGCTGCCAGTTAAACTGTGAATTTTAGATAAACAGTGAACAATTTTTAAACTACAAGTATATCCCAAGATATTGCATGGGCTATACTTACACTAGAGGAGCTTACATGGTTTATCTGAAACTCAAATGTACCTGCACGTCCCATAGTTCCACCTGCTGCACCTGACACCCGGGTGCCTGGCAGGGTCCCCAGAACAGGCCTCGAGGCCGTTCAACCTGAAGAAGGCGGGAGCCGGGACAGGGGACACAGCTGTCCCTCTCGTGCTCAAGGCGGCCCAGGGGGACCCGGTTCTGAAGAGGCTGAGAGTTTCCTGGCCCYGGGACAGGGCGAGCCTCGAGGGCAGCCCAGGGGGAAGGAGGCCCCAGAGCAGGCCTCAGAGGCCTCCGCCCGGAAACCGAGGTCCTGAGGGAAAGCGATGGAATTTCGCCCTGACGGCAGAGGAGGAAGAGGAAGGGCCCTACACCTCGTCCTGAGGAATGTGCTGGGCGGGGGGCTGGAGGAGGGAAGGAGGACAGGGAAGGGGAGACTGTTTGGAAGTTTGTGTCTCCATCTTGTCGCGCTCACTTCCTGTTTTCTTGGAGATCAAAGATGGGCGCGGAGGGACTGGCCTCACGTCCAGCCGACGCCAGCTCGGAGGGGGGGCAGGCAGGCTTCTCCTGGACCCCGCCGTCTGCAGCCTGACCTGGCCTCCTTCCCCACCTTTCCCGGCTCTCCACAGCCCAGGGGAGGGAAGATGGCCGCCCGGCCATGGACTGGTCTTGCTGCTCAGTCCTGCGAGATGGCCACCTTGGCCACGGTGGAGACCCAAACTTTACGAGGCCTCCTCTAGCCCCACCCTGATGTGCCAGGACTGCAGAGGGTCTGGGCAATATGGCATTTTTGCTCCAAGCAGGGTCCTTGGAGGTAGGGTGACCTGGGTTGGAACCCAGGCTTATGAGCTAGGTGGCTTTRCTGAACGGCTTTCACCACTCAAGAGCTTCAGTTTCCTGATCTGTAAGATGACAATAAGAATAGAACCCAGGCCAGGTGTGGTGGCACTCGCCTGAAATCCCAGTGACTTGAGGCCAGAGGATCACAAGTTCAAGGTCAGCCTCAGCTACTGAATTGCCCTAAGCAATTTAACAAGATCCGGTTTTAAAATGAAAAAAGAAAGAGGACTGGATGTGGCTCAGTGGTTCAGCCCCGAGTTCAATCCCGGGGACCAAAAAAAAAAAAAAAAAAAAGAAGAAGAAAAAAGAATAGAACCCAATCACACACAGAGGTTGATGGGAGCTGCCGTGGGGCTGGGCATACGGTCACTCTTTTTATGACAATTATTTCATTGGCTGCAGTCACTATAGAAGATCTGACTCTCTTAAGGGGGTGAAGTGGTGGACGGGGCAGCCTCCAGGTGAGGGTCCCGTGGGAGGGACGTCACTGGGGTCTCCTTCAACCCGATAGCTTCAGGGCTGGCACCCTCTCCTGCCATCTCCACCCCTGACCCTCTAGCCCCCAAGGCTTGAACCTCSTTCCTTAGTCCAAACCCAGGTTGTGCAGATGGGGAGACTGAGGCCCAGCGAAGCAGGAGACACCAGATAAASAGCCTGTGGCTGAGCAGCTGGACCTGGAACCCCTCCCCAGGGGGCCTGGGGTCTGGCCTGCAGAGCAGCGCTGTGCCTCCCTCCTTCCCTTCCGACTCTCCCTGCCCCCTCCCCAGACTTCCAGGAACCCTAGTTCCTCCCGGATTGCCGGGGCCGCCTGGGGCCACCTCCTCCATGCCGTCAGCCACCGGGAGAGGCCACAGGCCTGGCCATTATGTAATGATCAGATAACGGGCCAGGCTGGGAGATCAGATAAGAGGTCCATTTATTTTGGGGCCTTTTCGAATCCTGGCCACCCCCACCCCGCAGACGGAGAATGGGGAGACAGGAGGGAGTGTGACGCCTGGGCCTGTCTCCTGGAGCCCGAGGCGGGCCCAGACGCCTGAAAACAATCCCCTGGCACCAAGGGAACACCAGGGCCTCCTGGGACCCAGTCGGAGGAGGCGCCGCTGGGGACCTGGGTGACCGGGGCCTCCCAAGCGAGACCCTGGAGCCACCTCCCCACACTCTCCCCCTCTGGCCTCCCTACCCCTGAGCGTACAGCCGCCTCTGGGGCTTTGCCAACCTCTCTGGGAAGCCACAGAGGATTGGGGGCAAGAAAAGCAGCTCTGGATGGAGATGGATGGCCTGGGTCAAATCCCAGCTCGGCCTCCGAATTCAGAGGCTGGCCGCCTGGGCAGAAGCCAGTCTGAGGGCTGGGGATGTGGCTCAAGCTGTAGCGCGCTCGCCTGGCATGCGTGCAGCCCGGGTTCGATCCTCAGCACCACACACAAACAGAGATGTGTGTGTCTGCCGAAAACTAAAAAATAAATAAATAAATATTGAAAAAAAAAAAAGAAGCCAGTCTGAGTCTCCTCCTGAGCATACCAGAGACTGCATAGTGCCCGGGCCTCAGTTTCCCCATTTGCAGACACAATCATTATGGCAGAGGCTTCCAAAATGCTTCCTGGGAACCGGGCATGGTGGTCCCCATCTGTCACCCCAGAGGCTGGGGAGGCTGAGGCAGGAGGATCACAAGTTCAATTCAACCTCAGCAACTTAGCAAGGCCCCTAAGCAACTTAGCAAAACCCTGTCTCGAATTAAAATATAAAAAYATTAAAAAAGGGCTGAGGATGTGGCTGAGTGCTCCTGGGAGTCCCCCGGGGGGCTGCCTTGAGGCTCCACCTGAGTTAGTTCTCTGCTCTTTGCAGCGGCCTCTAGAGACTGGAGGAAAGTGAAGARTGGGGAGGTCGAAGAGTTTGCCCAGGCTATCAGCTCCCTAAGGTGGCAGAGCCTGGACTCGAGCCCTGACAGCCAAGCTGGCACCCAGCACACACCTCATGCCTGTGTRTCACTGGATGCAGTCGCCTGAGTGGCCCTAGGTGCTCAGGACACCACTGCTGTGAAGGCTCACTCACAATACAAGGGCAGATCACTTTTGTTCCTAATTTTTTTTTGKTTTTGGTGGGGAGGAAGGTGAGCRCCAGGGGTTGAACCCAGAGGCATTAACCATTGAGCCACATTCCCAGCCCTTTYTATTTTTTAATTTGAGTCAGGGCCTAGCTAACTTGCTTCTGGCCTGGCTAAGCTGAGATCCTCCTGCCTCAGCCTCCCGGCCGCAGGGATGACAGGCACATGCCAGCACATCTGGCTCAGGGCAGATAGCTTTTAACAAGGTTCTTCTTTGCAGAGAACTCTGTCCCCTCTTCAGTTCCCCACCACCCTCTACTCCTTTCAGGGTGCATTGCAACCTCACAGACTTCTCAGCCACGAGTGAGGCCCCCACTCCCCTCTACTCCCGTCTTTCCCACAGTTTCCCAACACCTGTAGGGTCAAGTGGGGAGTTGGGAAGACCAGGGATCTGGGGCTGGGGCGGGGCTCAGCGGCAGAGCGCTTGCCTTACTTGCRTGAGGCCCTAGGTTCGATCCTCAGCACCACAAAAAATAAATTAATTAAATAAARATATCGAGTCCAACTACCACCAGAACCTCTGATCCTGAATCTGCCACCTTCCAGCTGCCTTTCCACTCCTCAGTGATGCTACCTGGACAATGGGGTGACCACAAGCTTGACACYTTCCCCAAGGAAGCGGTGAGCATGTCCCTAAGGTGACAGACACACCATGCCACATTGGCTCCTGATGAAYGGAGGGCACTCAGGACCTGGCAACTGCCATCACAATTAGGCAAACACAGTCAGTGGGGACACAGGCTTTCCCTCCACACCTGGCCTTCTCCTCGTTCTCAACATGGCCTTTCTCAGACTAAGAATCACCCTGGGGCTGGCCCCTGGCCAACTTCTATTCCTCTTCAAAACCCTGTGGTGAGAGTCTCACTGGCACAACCCCCCCCCCCAGTCCTTGGTGCCCTGGTGCCTGGCCGCCCTTCCGGAACCACACGCACCCAGGTGTGTTGTTCTGACCGTCTGTGCGTCTGCACTCCCMGTGAGCTTTTCCAGGAGGGACAGGTGCCACCCACGCTGTGTCCGGGTCACTGGAGCCCAGGCTCGGGCAGGCTGCGCTCACGTGGGGAACGGGTTGGTGGGGCCTGCCTCTCACTTGCTGGAGGACTGGCAGCAAGTCCCTTGGCCGTACTAGGACTCAGTCCCCCTGTGGGCCAGGGCAGGGAGCAGAAGGAAGGCACAGGACCCGCTCCAAGCTGCCCTGGGCTCCGTGCTCCAAGGTTCCTTCTGGGGATGAGGCAGAAGAGAGCGCAGGGTGCTGAGGGGCCACTGAGGGTTGAGGCAGGGCCCCAGGGTTGTGCCCGAGGTGGGAGAGCCATCCTGGGGACAGGAGCAGGGTGGGGTGACCATTGGGCCACAGGAAGCTCGTGGATGGGCTCCCTTGAGGCAGTGCGGTGCAGTGGTGAGGCCCAGGGCTCACRCCCCAGCTGCTCCTTTCTGGTGACCTCCCCTCCCTGCCTGGTCCATCTCCTCTGGGTGCTCAGGGCTCAGGGTGCAGAGGCTGCCTGACAGTGCATACATATGGCCAGAGCCGCACAGGCGTACAGTAAGCCCGGCCTGAGTGTCAGCTGTGTATCTCGTCACCCMACCCCGCCCAGGGGTCGGAGCCAGCCCAGCCCTGGATATGGGTCCCCCTCAGTCTGTAGAACTGGTGCCCCGAAGCCTGGGGGTGCCCGGGGCCAGGGCGACCAGCTCTCCCAGTCCTCAGAGCCCCGACACCAGAGGTGAGGGGCAGAAGCTGGGCTCTGGAGCAGGCCGTTGGGGCCGGGACCTAGAGCTGTCATTCATAGGGAAACTCCATRTCCTTCTCTGAGGTCACAGGAGAGTTAGTCGTCCCCCTCTCACCTAGATCCACCAAAAATGGAGTGAAGGGACCAGGCCTGTCTTCCAAGGGCCCAGGGAAAACTCACAGGCGACCCGAAGCCAGTCCCTCTGTCCCTCAGCGGGAGGCGCGGGACAGTCTTCGGGACAGTCTTCGTGGTCACATCGCTACCCGCCAGGCCGCACCCCCAGCGCACACTGCTCCTCTCCATCCTCTCCCCTGGCAAGTGCGGACCTGCCCCAGAGTCCAGCTGGAAGAAGAGCGTGTCTGTCCTGTGTCACCGTCGGCTGGTGGCCGGCACATGGAGGGCCCGAGGCACAGCTCTGCCCCCGTCCTAGGGCAAACCCTCCATACGCTGCTTCGGAAACACTGCTCCATCCAGCCACCCAGCGCGGCCCGGCCCGGCACCCGCTCCTGGGACCCCATCCAAGGGAAATAACCCAAAACACAGGAAAAGTGCACGAACCCAAACGTGCCTCGGTGGTATTTATAACTAAAACCAAGGGAAAACACCTAAGTCGTCACCAATGAGGGAGTCACCGGGCAAACGATGGCACGTGGAAGGGACAGAATATTCTAGAACTGCAATAGGGATGCGTATGGAGCCCACTGGGCAACATGGAAACCTCTGGGGACACAAGAAGGGTGCACAAGACCCCCAAATATTAGTCCGCCTGGATTAAAATTATCGTAAAAATCTCAACAGACGGGGYGGGGGATGTGGTTCAAGTGGTAGCGCGCTCGCCTGGCATGYGCGAGGCACTGGGTTTGATTCTCAGCACCACATACAAATAAAATGGAGATATTGTGTCCACCTTAAAAAAATGAAAATTAAAAATAAATATTAAAAAAAAAATCTCAACAGAGAGCAGTCAGCAACTCACCAATCTCTCCCCGTGCCTGGGAGTTTGAGGTGATGGGTTTCTTTCTTGCCTATTTTCTTTTCTCTTGACTTTTCTTCCATTTTTTTCCTTCTTTATTGTGGGCTGGGGTGAACCCAGGGCCCCACACCGCCAGGCAAGTGCTTGACCACTGGGCTACCCTCCCAGCTCTCCACCCCCGTCTCCTTTCTCCGAGGGGCAGACTGAAGCCAACAGAAGGTGAAAGGCTCTTTAAACATCTCTACATGCTGGTTCTTAAAAAATGAAAATCAACATGACAGAAAAATGCGTCTGAGGAGGTCCCCCACACTGCAGAATAGCCACATGGGTGGACCTCCTTCCAGAACTTTCCCTAGGCATTATCATCCTTCTGTTGTAGAGGAATGGAGTTGCTGAGGGGCTCCTAGCATCCTGTTCCAGACACCTATCTACCCGGCCCTGGCCGCAGATGCCCAGATCCGCCCGCCCATCCTGTCCCACCGCTTCATGACGGACATTGAGGTGGCGTCCAGAGTCCAGTGGTTGGGGCATACAAAGACATACCGACCCGTATCGGAGCTTGCCTTCATCCCCTCCATCTGAATGACGGTGCCTGCGTTGCCCCTCTGCGGCTGGAGATCTGGGTCTGCCCTGGCCCAGGCCCCCATCTGCCCTCCATGGTGGGTCCCGGCGGCCCAGACTGCGAGTGAGCCAGGCTGGATGCTCGTGACGCCCGTAAGCCCAGGGGTCCTGACCCTGCTCCTCCCGGGAGCAGGTGGATACCGTTCCCATTTTGCAAAAWGGTCGTCACACGTGACTGTTATTAAAACTTAAATTATACAAAACTTAGAATTCAGGAAATTGTATATTTTGCAAAAGGTGATAAATATCAAAATTCCCTCCTCGTTATTTTACTCCGCTTGTTTATTCCTATGGCCCTGAGGTCATTTGCACTTAGAGTCTGTGGGCAAGTCCCAGGTCATGGTGCCCCTGAGCTCTGCCACCCCTCTCTGACAGATGAGGTTGGAGTCAGCCCCGAGGGCGTGTGCACACCCCCAGGGGACGGACAGGTGCCGCKGACCAGGTCTCGCCCACCCACCTCCATGGCTGACCCTCTGCCCCGCGTCACTGCCTTTGATCCCATAAAACCAGGCCCGAGCAGCGCGGGGCTTCTTCTAAGCAGGAAGAGGAAGAGCGCGGCAGGCACATCCTGGAGCTCAGGTGGGCCTCTGTCTCAGCTCTGCGGACTTGGCAGGTCAAGGCCTCCATTTTCTCTTGTACGAAATGAGGTGACAATGGCAACCATCTTGCAGGGCCATGGGGACCCTTATCAAGTGGGGTTCCCCTATCATACATGGTTGGGAGCAAATGTTCTGGGTAACCACAGGCCMGGAGCCAAATCCCTGCCTAGTCACTTAGTGCCTCTGAGACTCCATTTCTAGTCTATCAGTGAGGTCGCAGGAGCTCGACTCTCAGGGACTTTAGAACCCTGGGTCGGGCTGGGAGGTGGCTCCGCGTGCAGCTCGTGCAGCATGTGTGAGGCCCTGTGTGAGGCCCTGGGCTCCGCCACCAGGACCACGACAATAATGAATTCACAAAATAAAATTTGGGGGTGAAGGAAGTGGGGAGGGGGTGTCTGAAACTGCCTCTGCCCCCCACCCCTTCTCCCGTTCTCGGCTCCCTGTGGCCTCCCCGAGGCCTGTGAGGAAGTCCCTGGATGGTGCACAGGTGGGCGAGGGGGCCCGGGCGAGGGGTAGCTGAGGGGCAGGACAAAGCAGGGGTCACAGAGTGGGGCACGGGCTGGGGACCGGCAACTCCTCAGGACTCTCCTCTGGTCAGTTTTGAAGGCCACATAGGTCATGACCCTTTGAGAAAACCCCAGGCCAAGGAGCCCCAGCAGAGCCCTGGCCTGGGTCTGCACCCTCCTGGGGAGCAGGAGAGGGAGACGGGAGAGCAGTCTTGGCCTGGGCACCCTAAAGACCCGGGACGGTAGAGGAATTTCCAGCTAGTAACCAACAACAGCAGCGACCACACAGTCACCTCCGGCAAGCATGAGCTCACCCCAGAGGGGAACTTTGTTACCCACCACACTTCGCTCAGAGGCCCAAAGGTGGACCCCCAAGTCACATTCAAGGAAGTAACAAGGTGAGGTTTGAACGCCGAGCCCGAGATGGTTCCCACACATTCCTTAGATGGGAAGCTCAAGGCCCAGAGAGGGTTGGGAACCCTCCTGGGCTGCACAGCATTCTGGAACCTGGACTTCCAGGGCAGAGCTGGACACAGCAGGGGGACAGAACCCAGGGATCAAGGTCAAGATAGATAACTTGCCCTACTTTGTCCAAAACATTAATGCTGAAAGTCCCTCCCCCCCCGAGAAACCCCTTAGTCACAGCAAACTGGAATTGTTGGTCCCCCTCTCCCAAAACCACCAGCTGAGCACGTGTGGGAGGCCGGGACACCTGGGGCTGGGCCTGGGGCTGAGCCTCCCCACYCAGGTCCTTGGGCACTTACTTGTGGGGCCGAGACTGCAGGCGGCCAGCAGCAGGGCAGTGACCAGGGGGAGCGTTCCRCGGTCCATGCTGTCCACCCGGGAGTCTGTGCGCTGGGCCTTATCCAGTGTCCAGGGGCAGGGCTGCAGGTGGGCGCCGGGGCCGGCGTGGGCTCGCACGGGGACCCGAGGGGAGCAGGCGGCCGGAGCAACGACGTCCCTGCTCCAGCCTTCTGGGTGGTGGCCAAGGGGCAGGAGAAGTGGACAAGAGAATTAAAACCGGGCCGGGGCTCCTGGCCGACCGGTGGCGGGGAGAGGGTGCCGGGCTCGCGTGGACAGCAGCAGGCCTGGCCGGGGACGCGGCGCCGATGGAAGCTGGGGTCTGACCCTCGCTGTGCGGAGCTGCGGCTCATCCAGCCCGGCCCAGGGAGGCAGGAAATGCGCTTCCTTAGAGAAGGGGCYGGGCCAGGCGGCCTGCCAGGCGGGTAGAGGAAGTGCCACAGGCTTTGTCGCTGGGTGGGGGGCCCTGGGGTGGGGGAGGCGGTGTGGGGAAGGGCCCAGCTCCAGGTTCATCTCCCCACACACCCCAGATGCACTCTGTGGGGGTCATCTGGCCACCCCACAAGTGAACGGTCACCCCACAGCCCCAGAGGTGCGCTTTCAGGGGCCAGRCCTGGGCTGAAGCCACCCGTGGGCACTCGCAACCCACAGGCCCGGTGTTCCCATTTTGCAGATCAGAAATCCGAGGAGAGGAGAGAGCTACTGGGGGAGTGGGGTGCAGCTGGGGATCCCACGGGTCTTGGGCACCAAAGCCAGTCTGTGAAATGCACTGGACCTGCTGCCCCTTGTTCAGGGCCTGAGATGGGGAAGGAACGGTTCACGCTGTCACAGCAGATCAGCTGGGGCTTGGGGTCTCTGGGCCCAGAGAGAACACAGGACCTGCCCGGGCCACACATTTTGTGTCTAACCACCCACTGCCCCGTGGGCAAAAGACAGGCCCAAACCAAGGAGACACCARCTCTCAGGACATTTCTGAAGTCCGCTGGCCCAGGAGTCAAACCTGCTCTGAGCTGGGAGTGCTGGGCCCTCGACCCCCAGCCTCCCGGTGCCACCTTCTCCCGGCTGTGGGGAGGTCTCCAGAGTCGGGGCACGAAGGTGCGGAGCCCTAGGCTGGTATGCAGGAGGTGCTCAAGCACTGTGCTCCCGGAACCAGGGTCTGATCCCAGATCTGCCCCACGTTCACTCTGCACATCGTCAGAACCTACTCTATGTCTGCCACGGTGCCAATCACTGCCCAGGAGAGCCAGAGAGGGAAGCCTGAGTGGCCCCGGAGGCTGGCATGTAGGCCCACCCTTTGAGGGCACTGGGTGAGTTGGCCAGAAAAGAGGGGCGAGGAGGGTGTATCAGCCTGGGGGACCAGCCTGGGTAAAGGACAGAGGCAGGAAGTTGTCCGACTACTGTGGGACAAGCAGGGGTGTGGTGGGGACAGGGAGACTCTGACTCTGCTCTGGAAGGGCCTTGGCTGTCTGCACTTTATCCTGAGGGAACACTGGGAGTCATGGAGTGTTCTTGAGCTGAAGCATGCTGGCTGAGCTGGGGTCTGGGTGCAGGACCACAGTGAGAGGAAGCCAGGGTCATCTTCCCTCTATGCCCGGCCTCATCACGGACGGAGAAATGAAGGCCCRGGAGGGAGAAGGCCGGAGCCCCGGGAGCCGCTGGGGAAGGGGTTGGCCTGGGCCCTTCCCCCACTTGCTGGCCTGCCCCAGTGACCAGAGCAGGCCAGGCGCTGGTCTCCGAGGGAGATGRCGGGGCAGGAGGGCCGGGTGTGGCTGCCCGGGTGGGTCTGGAGGGTTGCTCTCCCGGCCAGCTCCCTGCAGCATGAGCGCGGGGGTCAAGGGTCCCCTCCTGGCAGGCAGGCCACTGGGTGGCGGCTCCCTGCCTTTGGCCGCCCRTGGAGGCAGAGCAGGGGCACCTGGAGGCAGACGCTGCTGAGTGAGGAAGGACRGGGCTGGAGGTTCCCCAGGCCTTGGCGGGGTCTGTGCCCCAGGGACAGTTAACCCAGCCCCTGGGGCTGAGCGCTAGGTGCCCGGCCCGCCCTGGGCGTTCACCTTATCAGCCCCGAGTCCYGCCAGCCACCGTCGGGTGCAGAGGGCCCTCCTCCCACAGAAGAGGAACTTGGGATCCCTGAGACTCAAGTGAACCCTGGCTGGGGCCTGGAGACCCCAGGGCTGGCCGCCCTCCCGCCGCCTCCGCCTGGGCCTGTTTGGAGTGAGTGCAGGGGCTGGGGTATCACAGGGTGGGGACATCGCTGTCTAGGTGGGGTGTGGGGCAGTACCAGGGACCCCTCAAACCTCCTCCTTCTTTGCACACTGCACAGTCCACCTCACCAGGCTCTACACAGCACCCGGAGGACTGCATAGAAAGCAGGAGAGATTCGAGGTAGACACAAGAAKAAACTGGCAGAAAACCCAGGGGAGAAATCCAGTAGGCCCCAAAGGGCCTGAGCCCTGACCAGGGGAAGAGATCGGGAGCCCCAAGAGCTGSACGGCTGGCCGAGGAGGGCAGGTCACCTCTAGCTCCTGAGCGCCCCAGCCTGGGTGGGGTCCAGCCACAGGTGTCTGCCTTCCACTGAAGTCCCAGGACTTTGGTGTCCTCTGCACCACTGCGTCCCCTCACAGAGCCCAGGGCCCTCTGCCCATGAGATATATTTGTGGGAAGCGTGAGGTCCCTGGAAGCTGGGGCAGGGGTGAGGGTCGGGAAACTGAGGCAGGGAGAGCGGCCTGACCGGGGCCGGCTGTTCTACCCCAGAGAACTCAGTGCTCAGGTGGCCTGTGGCCAGGGCCACCTCGGGCTACCGTCCTCCATGTGTCCCCACAGGCACTCTCCATCCTGGGGACACCCACCCCACCCCGACGGTCGGAGAGAAGAGCGGAAGGGCCCCGTCCTCAGGCCCTGCCCGCAGGGTCCCAGCAGATCCCTGGCCCYGATGGCCTGGGCTGGCCCTCTCGGGTGATCAGCTCCTCTCCTCGCCCTTCAGGCCACTGCCAGCCCGGGGTCCACACAGTCCCTGGTGGTCCCGACACCCTGCCCACCCCTGTGKGAAGAGCCCCCTCCCCAGACCCCCCGGGAGCGTGCCATCTGTTTCCTGCCGGGGCTCTGTCCAGATGTCTTCAGGTGCCGCCCATCCACACGCCAGGGGACCATGGCCACCGGCCAGGCCTGCGCCGGGGCCCCACCGTGGGCAGATGCTCACATGCTGCTCCTTCCTCCTCCCGGCCGGCTGGGAGGCCTGGGCCGCAGGAAGGGATGCAGCACGTCTACCCTGGCCCCTGGCCACCGAAGGAATTCCAGGCGGCCCCCAGGGACCCCCGGGCGGCTGTCCGGCTCCAGCACGGGCCCGGAGCCAGGGGCTGTTGACAACAGCAGGGCCAGATCCACACGGGCAGAGGGGAGAGAGAGGCGGACGGGGGTCTGGATACCCGGTGCTGCCCGGCGCTGGCCGGGCCCCGGGCAAGACCTTTCTAGTTTCTGGGCCTCAGTTTCTTCTTCTGCACCATGGGAGGGAGGGCAGGCTCCTGGCCTGGAGGAGTGCAGACGGCCCAACAAGAACAGGAACCACTCCACCACGTGTCTGCTGTCCCGGTGCCAAGTGCCACTTGACAGCCACCCCAGTGGGCCAGGACCGTCATGTCCCCACCTCACCGTGGGGGACAGTCTCAGGTGTGCAAGGCCGGGGGCTGAGGAGARGGAGAGGGAGAAAATAGCGCAGACCCCAGCTTTTCTTCCCTTGACTTCTAGAACATTCTGTCCCGCTTTCCCTCCCACCTCCCTGCTCACCTTATCTCTGTCTTCACCGGCTCTTCCTCACCCGCCCCAGATGGCCCCTGAGCCCCTTCCCTTCTCTGTTGACTCTCACTCCCAAATCAGGTTTTCTCAGACCTTGACGACCCTGACGTCATGTCCCAGCACGAGACAAAGAATCCCGGGCTCSGGCTGATAACGGGAGGACGTGTGACCTGTCTGGACCTTTGGGACCCGCCAGCCCCCCTGCAGGCTCCTGTGCCCACCAGCGGGTCTTGGCTGTAAGCTCCGCAGTGGTGGCGGGTGGCCCGCGGCCTGGTGGCAGGCCATCTTCCAGATCTCGGTTCAGGGCAGACCCTCGGGCCCTGCGTCAGACCCGCATTTTCTCCAGGTCCCCAGGGGATTCCTGTTCCTGCTGACGTTGGGGACGTGCTATTTCTGGTGACCTCAGCCAGGTAAACAGCCTCACATCCCATCTGTCGTACCCGACTGGTCGCCTCCGACCTCGTGCGCCCACCTCTGGGCTCCGTCCCTCTCTGGGATGTGCTCCTCCTCTGGGCTGGGCCCCTTCACTGGAATCAACTCTGACTCCGTCCCCCGCCCCCTGCCCCCTGCAGGTGCTCCCTCAAGTTCCCAGGTTTCYAGGTTTGCAGACCCTGGCGGCTTCTTGTCCCCCATGGCCACTGTCCTCTGGGAATATTGTCATCGTCTCCTTACCAAGCTCTGCCTGCCCCTCCCCTTGCCCCGACATTTCTCCATTCTGCCGAGGGAACCTGTTCCAGCCAAGTCAGGTTCCACCCCACTCTGCCCAGTTGCCCTCCACTGGCGACTGTAAAAGCCAGAGTGAGTTCTCAAATGGCCAATGAGCTCCCCTGCCCCTCTTCAAATTCACCTGCTCTTCTCCCCCTGGCTCACCCCACTCCAGCCACACTGGCCCATGGCTGTTCCCTGGAGATGCCAAGCATTTGCCCACCTCAGGGCCTTTGCATGTGCTGCTTTACTCCCTGAACACTCTGTAGCTGTGGGGCTTGCTCCCTCACCCTTTAAGTCTCTGRTCAAACATTGCAAGGTCAGAGAGACCTTCCCAGACCATTTAAAATGGCCTCTCCTCCTGCTGGCAGCTCTGGGTGGCGTATACCAGCTGACAGGCAGACGTTCTGTGTGTCTCCTCTTCTACAACAGAAGGGTCATAAAGGAAGGATCCCTCTCTTGGAGAGGTACCTGGCCCTTGGCAGGTGTTCAGGAGATGCTTGTGGAATAAATGATGCCGGCTGACAGCCCAGGTTTCCCAGGTGATGACCCCGAGTTCCCGGGGCGTGGGAGGTGGCATTCTGGGCCCAGGCAGGGGTCTCTGAAGAAGGGGAGTGTCTCTCCAAGAATCCAGGCTGATCCCAGGGGTCCCCCCGTATGCTGCTCTGTGCTGGAAGAGCAGACCCCCCAAGTAGTCTTCCCCAAGGAAGAGGCCTAGGGACCTGCTGCCTCCAAGCCCTGGGCAACGGTGGCCCTCCTGATGACATGGGCCCATCTAGGAGGCAGAGGGTCCACTGGGCCAGGGTTCCAGAACCCCTGAGTTGTAAGGACTCTGAGTTCATGGAAAGGGAAGCTGAGGCTCGAGAGGGGCTGACACTGGGTGAGTCACGGGGCCACACAGGTAGGAC